AAACAGTTGGAGCTTTATTTACTTAATTTGGTCTATAAATTCAAAGATAAAATTTAAAAGTTTGATTTTAACATTATTTCAGCGTGCTCTGAACGAAATATTTACTGTCTGTGAATTTCGCAAATTGTTTTAGCATAATATAACACTGGTAGCACCGTAGGATGAAAGTCTTAGTAGGTTTAAACAAAATAGCGCTAATTTTAACTTGTAACATGAATATATCTGTAGCTTTATTGATGTTTAGCCAATCAGTGTTTCTCAACCTCTGTTGTCATGGTATAATGCAACTGCCTATTTTTCAGCTTCAAATACATGGAAAAGCTTTTGCTGTTCTTTTCAACTGTATAATCCAATATGGCTTCCATTTCAGCGGAGAATATCTTAGGGATCTGAACAAAGTAATAAAAGCTTAGCTTGGTGATACGATATTTGTGAACAGCTTCCATCGCAATTACGGTCCTGATTTTTATAAGCTTATGAAAACCTTACTTTATCATTTTATACTACATTTGAATGATAACGTTGTATTATGATAACATTGTTTGTTTCATGGTTTTGAATTTCGCGCTAAACCACTCGAAGACTCTCTGCAATAGCCATCCCTAATTTAACAGTGCTAGACTAGAGGGAAAGCAGCTAATGAACATCACTTGGGCTACTCTTTCACCAACGAAAAGTGGGATTGACCATCAAATTATAACGCCCCAAAGACTGAAAGGGCGAGCATGTTCGGTGATGGAGATTCAAACCCTCGACCCGCAGATTGCGAGTCGAGCGCCATAACTACCAGGCCATGCTAGTACATTTTGATAGGAAAATAAATGTTGTTTGTGCAACAAGATGAGGTTTTGTTTATTTATGTATTTGTAGTTAAGCGCAAAGTTGCAAAATATGTTTCTGTACTGTACTCGTCATTGGTATCCATTCCCTGTTGCCCAATGGCTGAGCGGAAGGTCTGCGGACTTATAACATAAGAATATGGTTACTAAGCCTTATCAGCAAAACGGAAGAGTACAAAATGATTTAACAGAGTCTACCTTATCTTATGTTCCCCAATGGCTGAGCGGTAGGTTTACGGACTTATAACATAAAAATCCAAGATAAGGTAGACGCTGTTAAATCATTTTGTACTCTTCCGTTTTGCTGATAAGGCTTAGTAACCAGATTCTTATGTTATAAGTCCGCAGACCTTCCGCTCAGCCAATGGGCAACACAAGATAAGGTAGACGCTGTTAAATCATTTTGTACTCTTCCGTTTTGCTGATAAGGCTTAGTAACCAGATTTTTATGGTATGTAAGTCCGCAGACCTACCGCTCAGCTATTGGGGAACACAAGATAAGGTAGACTGTTAAATCATTTTGTACTCTTCCGTTTTGCTGATAAGGCTTAGTAATTGCGTAAATATGTAAATAAAATCACTGAAATACAAAATATAAATGAATATAAAACAAGTTTAAATTTTATTATATACATATTAAATGAAAACTTTTGTATATAAATTAAGAAAACTCACTTGATTTTGATTTTGGTATGCTAAGCAAGTTATTTTTATTGTATGCCAGTGATAGTAAACAATGAAATTGCGTGCTGTGTTTCTGAACCAGAACAAAGATAACATTTAGTTTCATAAAAGAATTTTTTTCTAAAGCTTTACAGGAATATAGGAAAACATAAAATC